TGTATACTTCCATTGATTTTACGTTCGCCGTTACAGACTAAGTCCCTTTATATATTTCTCAACGAATGTTGCGTGCGGCATACCGTTTTGGAATGGGCTGCTGTGGTCCCGGACGCTGAATTGATTGTTACACCATTGGTTTGAGTTTGCGTTCGCCGTTACAGACTAAGTCCCTATATATATTTCTCAACGAATGTTGCGTGCTACATACCGTTTTGGAATGGGCTGCTGTGGTCCCGAGCGTTGACTATGCATTTTGATAGTTGCCATATTCCTTTCCAGACTAATTCCTTTTATATTTCCTTGACGAATTTTGCATACGGAAACCGTCGTGGAATAAGTTCCTGTTGACATTGTACGAGGTATTTTTTTTGATTACTAATCGTGGCGATCAAATATTTTAGTTTTTTTTTTGTTTACTTATTAGGAAGAAATTTTTAATTATTTTTTTCACAATCTATAATGATAATATGATCTGCTATGATAGAAATCCATAAAATTTAATGATTCGGCAAAACCTGAGACGAATACGTAAACTAGTCAAACCATCACTCCTAAATAGATCCGCCTTATATTATTAAAACTGCTTTAAAACAATGTCGTATTGTAGATTGGTTAACCTTTAAAAATAAATCTCAAAGCACATGTTTCGGGCACATTGAAGTGAAGTCAAAAAAAGTTTATTTTTACAATACTCATAATTATTCTTTATTATTAATGACGTGATAAATAAATACAATATATTTTTTGTTTGAAATTTTTTTTTAAAACCATTAAGAATGTTCGTTTAATTCACGACTATTAACTATTCAACTTTAAAACTCAAACCCTTATGTCACTTATAGTGGTTTTACTAGAAAATAGGCAATTTTACTTTTTAACTCATTAAATTTATACTAAATTTTTTTTTGGATTAAAATTTAATATAATATTTTTTATAGATAGTATTAACTTCATATTAAAAGTTAAAAGTTTGTCAATTGTTAAAGAAAATTATGATAAAGCTTACCATTTAAATTAAAAGTTTGAAAGGTTTTCAATATATATTTTTATTATTTGCTTTTATATTTTTTTATTTTATTTTAATGCATTTTACAGGTTTAACTTTTTATTACTTGGATTTTTGAATTGAATATTTTTATTACTTGAATGTTATTCTTATTATTTCTTACATTTAAAAAATCTAAAAGAAATTTTTACTTAACTTTAGAAAGTATTTCACTATATATCATCAACAAAAAATATAGCATCACAATTTGAAAAAATACCTTAAAGTTGAAGAATATCAAATTCTATTAATAAAAAATAAAATAATTATTACATTATTTTAGCATAAATAAAGAAATTAAATATAAAATAAAATAATTAAAAACTTTTATTAAAATAAAATGAAATCTTAGTTTTTATGTAAAATTCAAAAAATATTTTTTTATAATAAAATATCTGAAAACCAATTTTTTACTTGTTAAAATTAAAATAATCACCATTTCTATTTATTAACAATTTGGACTAAATTCAATAAATCAGTCAAAAATTGGCCATTATATTAATGACCAATTTATAGCTCATTAGAATTGAACTAAAAATTAACTTCAATTTGTCTAATAAAATAATATAAAAATTGTTTGATTGGAAAAATTGACCCAAAGATATGATAGTAAACAATCATTTTAAATAGGATGATATAAATTAAAGATAAATACTATAATTAAGAAGTTGCAACTCAGTAAGTTGCAACTCTTTGTAAATATAAAAATTCATAAATAGTTGTAGCTCAAAAAGTTGCAACTTAAGTTGCAACTAGTTAAAAATTTTAAAAATAATTATAAGAACCATTTTTAATACAAATTATCATTTGATAAGAATGATAAAAATCATTTAAATTGAATGATTTAATATAATTTCAATCAGATGATGTAAATATGATAAGAGCAAATAAAAAATTATTCCTTTAAATAAAGAATTAACATTTTTTAAAACAAAATCATTTTTAGAGAATAATTAAAATCATTTCTTTGCAGTGATAATCGTTCGATTATAATGATAAAATTCATTTCTTTTAATAATAAAAATTATTTTAGAATGATAATAGTTCTATAAGAATAATAAAAAATCATTCCTTTTGAAATGATTATCGTTTGATTTTAAAGATCTAATCAGATAATGCAAAGTCGTCTAATTAGAATAATTAAATTATTGTTTCTTTAGGATGATAAACTATCATTCAAATCAATATCATTCCAGTTAAATGATAAAAAGTAATGATAAATCATCATTTCTTAAAGAATAATACAAATCATCAATAAGAAATTAAATAATACAAAATCATCTAATTAGCTTAAACTATATTAATAATTATGAATAAATTTAAAATTAATTAAAATTTCTATTATAAAACAGATAAACTTTTAGATTAATCTAAAAAAAATTTTTCTTTTTTTAACCTTTTTCTTTTCTTTTTTCTGTATTTTTTCTTATCTTAGAAGATTTTTGTCACTTTTCTTTATTTTTTAAAATAATTCACATTTTGAAAATAAGATAAGTAAATAAGAAACAAGTTTTTGGATGGAATTTCCTTTTTTTTTCTTGTTTTTTAAGAAATTATTTATTTTGAAATAAATTGAAAATGATTTTTTAAATGGATTGTCTTTTTATTATTTTTGTAAAAAAATTCTCATTTATAAATAAGATAAGTAAATCAGAAACAAGTTTTTTATAGATTTTTTTTTCTTTTTCTTGTTTTTGTAAAAAAATTCTTATTTTGAAATAAGATAAGTAAATCTGAGATACATTTTGGTAGATTTTTTTTTTTTATTATTTTTAAAAAACTTTTTCATTTTGAAAATAAAATAAACAAATCAGAAGTGTTTTTTAGATAGATTTTCCTTTCTTTTTTCTTTTTTAGAAAAATTATCATCTTGAAATTAAAATAAACAAACTATTGATGACTTTTTTGATGAAAATTTACTATTTCCTTTCTTTTATTTTTTTTTAAAAAATTTTCATTTTGGAATTAGAAAAGCAAATCAGAGATGACTTTTTTGATAAAAATTTACTATTTTTCTTTTTTTTTCTTTTTTTTTATTAGGAAATTTCTCATTTAAAATTAAGATAAGCAAATCAAAGTAACCTTTTGGGTGGTAATTTATTTTTTCCTATTTTTTTTTATTTTTTTTTAGAAATGTATTATAATAAGTCAATCTAAGTTATAATTTTTGACTCATTCCTTTATTTTATATTATTTTTTATATATGTTATAAAGTGTTTCTTTTTAAGGAATTTGAATTTAACAATTATGTAAAATAATAAAAATATAAATTTGTTAAATTGGTTCTGATTTGCAATTTATAGATGATTTTAGGTTAAATTAAGTTGATTTTAGCAAATTATATCTCTTTTATAATTGATTTATAATTGAATTATTGTTGAATTACAGTTGATTTTAAGTAGTTAAATTAGTTTGATTTTTAGCTGAATTGTATTTGAATTGTTATGTTTAAATTGTTCCTATCAATGCAAAATTATGTCAATAGGAATTAAACTAAATTTATTACAATTCAATCATAATTTAAACACAATTCACCTAAATTTAGATATAATTCATACATCTGATTATTTGGCTGAATTGTATCATTTTGACTAATATTTATAACCCAAAATGTCAGATGCTAATGATACGTTATTAAGCTTAAACGGTTCGTTGTTAAGTTAACTTAAATTATTTGCTAACAGGGAGTTTAAATTCGTCTAAACTATGGAAGAAATAAACATGAATTAATTATGTTGAAGGGTCAGGTCGTCTTTATCGATATAGATTTA